TGGTTATCATTTGATCTAACTGTTCTCTGGTCAAAGTTACCAACTGTTGTTCTGGAGGTCGAGCCGCCATCAATGGTAGTACGGGCTGAACTCTAGCTCCCTCAGTTTGTGCTATTACCCGGTTTGCTTGGGGTGGCGGCTCGGCTGCCCTGTTCTGCTCCCTATTCACTGGAGGCATCACTAGATCTCCCCTGTCTTGGGCTACAGTTACCGGATTTCCTCCGTTTTGAGTTGCAGTCGCCGGATTTCCTCTACCTTGGGTTACAGTGGCCGAATCTCCTCCACCTTGAGTTACAGTGGTCGGATCTCCTCCACCTTGGGTTACAGTGGGATGACTTACTGGTGTTTGAGATGTTCCGGCAAAACCCGTGGGTGGGCCTTCCCCTATTGGCCTTGTTTCGACCCATGCCTCCTCAAAGGACGACTGCAAGTTTTTTCTCGGAATGCCGTTCGTCATAGCTTTAGGTGTTGTAAAGCAAAGGCTTCTTGTTCAAAGAGTCCCACAGACGGCGCCAAAATGGTATGTGCTTTATACCTCGAACCGGCCAAGCTTCTTGGAATCTAGCCTTTCACACCGGTTGATCTCTTTGAATACCTGCAAAAAAGCCAATCCTGGAGAAGAGATCTCTCCGGTTTGGCCCTCCGATGATTAAGTCAGTTCTCTCCCTTCTCGTTTCGTATTGATAAGTGAAAATTATGAAATCACATACCTCTCTCTCTCTTTATCGGTACTTTTTATACCCGACAACGTGGGTAATGATCTCCCCCACGTTGTAACCGCCTTGGCCACGTTTCTTTATTACTCCATTGACCCATTCTTCAGTCTTTGGTCAATTATCCTCCTGCTCGATCGTTGGGCCACCTGCCCTTACTAGGGCAATTTGTGGATGCTTGAACCGATGATATGATATCCCGCATCAAGCAAAGATTTGGCCGCCTCCTCGCCAGACCCTCTCGATGCTCTACAATCTGACCTCTTTGGTACACTTTTCCTCGCCAGCTTGCAGGGTGACTCGATGATCTCCCAATTTGAACTTCATGACCCCGGTTCGATAGTTAATGGTCAGCTCTCTTAATCCTTCAAGCCATTGGACTCCTAGAACAACGTCGGGTCCAACCAAGGGTAAGGAATAGAGATCGGCCTTTACAATAACCCCTAGAAACTTAATCGGCACCCCACGAAAGGCCTTCGAGCACTTCAACCTCTCCCCATTGGCCACTCGGACTTCGAATGGCTCAATCTTGGTAGTTGGCAGCTTCAACTTTTGGGATAACGTGGCGTTGATGATGTTGTCTGATGACCCGTTGTCTACGAGTACGACCACTCGACGACCTTTGACCCATGCCGGTAGTCGCATCGTCCTAGGCCCCCTTGTCCCTGTCATAGCATGCATCGATATATTGGCTTCTTTTTCGGGCACCTCGACTTTGCCTTCACGCTCTACGTTCTCTTCAACCTCGAGCTCTTCTTCGTCCGGGTCGATGATGTCGATCACGAACGCTTGCTTGCATCGGTGGCCCGATGTGAACTTCTCTTCGCATTTGAAACAAAGCCCCTTCTCACTTCGGCGATTTATTTCTTCGAGTGAAAAGCGCGTGACTTCCGGTCCTGGTGGTCGTGCGATAATGGCCGGTCGCGCGCCCGTGGTGACGTTGCTTGGGCCCACGCGTCGCTTGTCGGGGTAACGGGCGTCTGCCCGTCCCTTTCGCGTCGTCGCTAGGAGGTCCTCACGGCGTCGGGCTACCTCTATAGCCGCATGCATAGTCTCGGGTCGCTCCAATCGAACTTCTGCAGCTAGGTCGAATTTAAGGCCACCAATGAATGCTCCAACTAGTGTAGTCTTGGGCCAGCCTCGGACTCGGCACGCCAGTCGCTCGAACTCCTTCAAGTACTCGCGTAGGTTGTCGGTTTTGTCTTATGCGCGTTAGGGCCTTGTCATAGTTGTGGTAGTCGGATGTTTCGAAACGCGTGAATAATTCACGTTCGAAATCGTCCCAAGTGATGACTCGCTGTCGATTGCGTTAGATGCTTGTGAGCCACTGCCACCAGTCGTTGGCCTCTTCATCTAAGTAATAAGCCGCATATCAGACTCGATCGTTGCCCTCGGTCTCATTGAGCTTGAAATATTGCACGGTTAGGTTGAGCCATGCGTCGGGATCGGTGCCGGTGAAGGTGGAGAGCGTGAGCCTTGGTTTGTCGGGCCTCGGCCGGTCACGGTAGTTGGATGCCTGGGATCGCCGCTCGAATTCGTCCTCGCGCTCTGCTCGTACTCCTAGTGTGGCCGTTCGTATGCGCGCCTTTCTTCGCGCCTAGGGGATGGTGGTCGCGACGGTACGTCGTGTTACCGCTACTGCTGTTGTTGGAACCCCCGCACCACCTCGTCCAGGCGTTGATCGAGTCGTGCCACGACAGCGTTGGTGTTGCTTAGGCCTTCGTCGAGTGATCCGAGCCTTCACTCCATAGATTCGCTCATGCTCTTGACTTGGACGTCAAGGTTGTCCAATCGTTCCATGTCCTTCCTTTCTTGCCTTCTCTCTTTAGCCCGCGGACTCGTGATGAATAGATTTTTTTTGTTTAATTCGAACGAAAAAGAAAAGGGAAGGAAAGAAAAAAGAGTGGGAATAGAAAAAGACACACGATCTTGATACTCTCAATGAAAGCATCAATGATGAATACCGTGTGTCCCGCTTGTCGATAAGCCGCTCTCGCGTCTTGAATCGCACGATAGGTGTTACGAGGTTCACACACTCACGCACCTCGAAATGAATAAAATTGCAAAAGAATTCTAGAATAAATCTAAGGCAAAGTGTTTGAACAAAGTTCAGATTTGTATATTGATTTCTGAATGATGAAAAATAACATGGGGAAGGGCTTTTATATAGGCAGAAACTATATCTAGTCCTAATCTACCTAGAACTCTAATAAAACAATAAAATATTAAGTAACCTAAACAAACTAGATATCATAAAACAATAAGGAAACTAGATAACTTGTCTTGCACTCCAAGGAACTCTTAGCCGCCCCAACTCCATCTGCCGCCCTAGGTCACAGACCGCCCGCGCGTGCTTCGCCTTAGCCCGTGAGGATTAGGCCAGCGCCGCCTGTTGCGCGTGGTCGTCCGCTGCACGCCTCGCGCGCGCCCGTGTTGCCACCGGTCTTCTCTGGCGCGTCCCAAGCACCTGCCGCATCGCCGGGTCTCGCGGTGTCTCGCACGCTACCGCCTGGGGCGCTGATACGGAAGTAGTCATCGACCGTGGAGAGTCGGAGGACGATGCCGACGAGGCCCTCGACATATGTTTGGAGAACATGCTGGAGGAGCCACCAAGCCCGATTTATCGCCCTTCATGCGTGAAAGATTGGCCGAAGGGATGTGGTCCGAGGTCAATGTCAAAATCTAGGAAACGCAAGGCCAAGCAAGCTCGAAGGCGATGCTAGACAAGGGCTAAAAAGGCAAGTCACTGAGTGGGCCTTGTGCGGGAAAGAAACGAGCGTGGCGCTCGGAGGTTCGAAGATGTGGCGTGGAGAGGATGAAAGATGGGTGGATGATGCATGCCGGAGATTGCATTAGGTCGGAAGGTGGGTGCATTGAAGGTTGGGACCCATGGGACAGGCCGGGACCATCAAGTGGACCGTTCGTAAGGATCGAGGATTGCCGGGGCGGGCTAAGCCCAATTGGCGGACCAAGACCATTAGGCGAGCATATGGAGTCGGTCGGCGACAATGAGGTCGAAGGTGGATGGCTAAAGTGCGAAGGGCGCGCATCGGCCCATGATGCGCGCGAATTGACGGACGAGCGGGAGGCGCTGGGAGCAGCTGGGCGCACGGTAGGCGAAGGCCTAGGCCTTGTGGGCCTAGGAATAATGGGCGCGCGACAACACGCGCGCGAGGAGGACGGCTGGAACGGAGCGCACGCAATGGCGCGCGAGTGGAGCACGGACGCGAGCGAAGGCCTAAGCCTTGCGGGCTTAGGAATGCCGGGGGCTGGCGCGTACGCGCGCGAGATGGACGGCGAGCGCTCGGCGCAAGAGATGGCGAGCGCGTACGGGGCAGACGCACGAAGCCCAGTCCGCGAAGGACTAGGCAAATCAGAGGCGGCTGGTGCGTGGGGCGCAAGCGCGCGCGAGGTAGGAATGAGGCGCACGCGCGAAGCCGCACGCGACTAGGAATAGGCCACCGAACACGCGCGACGCAGGGAAGGCGACCGAAGGTTTGGGCGGCGACTTGAGCTTCAAGACATTGGATTGAAGTGCAAGTCAAGTTTTAGAGTTCCAGTATTATTAGGAGTTTATTAGAGGTTAGAAGATATTTACTTTCCTTATTGCTTTAGAAGATCTAATATGTTTAGGATTCAATATTTTATTGCTTTAATTAGTGATCTAGTAAGATTAGGACTAGACTAGTTTAGGATCTATAAATAGGGGTCTTCCCCCAATGTTTTTGATATCCAGAAATATGATGAGTTGAACAGAAAAGAACGTTTGTTCATCCGTGTGTTAGGATTCGTGAGAGTTCGATCATACAAATCGAATTAGCGAGGCTAAGACCCAAGCTAGTTCAAATCGAGGGAGCGAGACTAATTACCAAGTGAACTCAAGTATCGTGAGAGAGTTAGGCTAATAACCGAGTCGATCACACCTATCGTTGAGAGCAAGTCGTGGCGAGGCTTTGTTCGAGGCAAGCGAGTGGAACAAACACACGATCCTTCATCAGGCGCTTGTCGCGCGCGCGTCGCCCATCATCGTTCGCGCTTGTCGTGCGCCCACGCCCGCTGGCGTCCGTTCGCCCATCTTGCACGCCAGTCGCGCGCAATCGTCCTCGCCCGTTAGCTGGCCAGTCTCGCGCACCTCTTGTGCGTCATGCTCAAGGGCGTGCATCTCGCCCGTCTCTCACGCTAGCCTCCTTCGCGCATGATAGCCGCGACTTGCGGCACTTTTGAGCTGCCTAGCCACATTCGCATCAGCGCTCCTCTTCGCCTGCGCGTCGTCCCCCACTAAACAACTCAGCACGCTTGCCATCGGCGATCAATGAGCAGCGCCAGGGGCTCGGCGTTTGCGAGCACGCTCAGCCGCCTGTAACCAGGTCGCACAACATTGCGCCAAGCCCCGGTAGCCCAGGCCGCCCGTAATCGTGGCTCATTCATCCCCAACCGCCTGCCCCATGACCAGGGGCTAAGTGCGACCGCCGTGTGCTTATGCACGCAGTGTCCCACTGCCCGTCTACGGGTGACGGGCGATCGAACCGCCATGTCGAGGGTCGTCGATCATCTTTTTGTTTGTCCGAGTTCGTTCGGTTCATCGTGTTCATCGAAAATAAAATTAAAAACATCTTTTCAATCATACAACTCACGTAGGGACCCTACATGATTTGATCTAATAAAGTAGTAAACTATATGACGTTTAAATTATTATAATCATTCACAAGTCAAAAATCCGAGACTTTACAAACACATACAAGAACATAAAGACATACATACATGTTATAATAGTCAGATTTATTAGAATTACTAAAGAAAAAAAGAAAAAAAAAAAGAAAAAAAAAAAGCTATCTAACTGCTATTCTAAATTAGCCTTCCCTAGGACAAATTAAGTTCAAACCACAAAATATGGGAAAATGCTACGGACCCGTTATGAAATCATTCCGTCGAGAATTGTGACGGTAATTTCACAAAATATTAACAATTATCATCATCACATGTGCATATATGCAGATAGAATCCCCTGAAAAGATATTGTGAATCAAAGTAACCAAACCCCCATTCCCGACATTCCTCACCAAAAGTCATCGGTCTGGCACATCCACTTATATTCTGCATAACGAGAGAAGTTCCGACAATAAAACATGTCACAGCATAGAGGAAGAAGTCAGAGGTTGTCAAAACAGCGATCGTAAGTTCAAAATAATCAAGTTAGTTAACTCCAGATGCTCGATCATCATGATCAACACTGACTTTCATGAAAGACCAACGTCTTGGAGGAAAGCAAGAACATTAAATCAGGAGCACTAATACAAGAACATGTCGGAGCACAAACTTCTCAAAAGACCCAGAGCCCAGTATACAAAACACAAAATTGCTTATAAACAAACAGCAGCAACTGTCCTGCTCAAACATCAACACAATGAACACAATGAATCTGGTAGTTCACCGATCGTTTTCCACCTCGTAAAAATTAAAAATAAAAACAAAAGAAAGAAATCAAGATTACAAACTCTACTCTACATAGCATTCCTTCCCTCCCTCTCCCAATATCCCTAGGAATCTGTACGAAGCTTACGAAGTTGCATTAAACCACCAGTAACAGGACTTGCATCATTTGGAGGTCATTAACATGGAATTAATGACATGCATGATGAGGCGGATGTTGGAAAGCTCGGCTCCACTACAAGTCGGAAGGTTACGGTGGTGATTCAGTATCTGGTAGACTTGCTCAAAGATGGGACGCACGTGGACCACAATCATTGCATCTGACGGGTTTATAGCAGATAGAACTTCTCTCATCCATGTCAGTTTCCGAGAGGTGTCTTTGATGATGTCACAAGCCAATTGCTGCAGAAGAGAGAGGAGCACACCCTGACTCAAAGGCACCGGATTCATGGACAATATCCCTGGCAGATCAACCTGGTACAAGTTGATAAATATTATGAAAACAATGCACTTTGATGTCCCATCAAAACCCCGTTTGATGTCTGATTGAAAAGTAGAAACGAAAAAAATGAATAATTTCCAGTACTGACACAAATTGAACGTGTCATTATTCAGTGAAAGAATGAGGACACCAAAATAACACGTAACGTGTTTAGTCAATCCTGCATGTGCATTTCTCTAATTGCCTTAATTCTGCTAATATATAAAATAATGCATTATGCGAAAGTGTTCCAGTTACAAAACATCGTTTTTTTTACAATGACAATTAAACTCATTGAACCCATATAACTCAAATAAAAAAAAAAAAAAAATGTACCTCTTAGATCTTTTAAAATATACACTTCCTTCTAATCCACAGAGTCCATTATTTAATCTACGGAGGGTTTGATTTTTAAAATGGCAATGAACGAACAGAGTATTAAAATATTTATCAAAAAGTTAATAGGCAATTCAGGGTGTACCTGAGCACATAACCAGGATACTATATTAACATCAGTCCTCTGCAGGGCAGCAGTAAAAGCCTCCTCATACTTGCGGTCGGCTACCAGTCTAGATATTTCCGCTGTGGGGTCAAGAGGTGCCTCGAGCTTAAAAAAACATAAACCCATTTCACAATTAATTAACAATGGCAGCAGTAATGAGTTAAAACTCTGCCCAGATCAAAAGAAAGTCCAATTAAGCAATATAAAGAAAGATAAAAACAAAGCCAAACCTTGTCATGGAGACCACCCAGAGGACCATTACTCAGCTGACTAATCAACGGATTTGCTGCTTTAGTGTTTGCAGCAAGAGCTACCAATTTCCTTTGACCATCAAGAATCTCACTGCTTAAAGTTTGAGTCATTGATGATGCTGAATTTATGGCGTCCTATAGAGTAAAGTCTAAATTAGTGATGCAGTTGAGTGTGGAAAGCACATAAGGGATCGGAAAAGAAAATAAACTACAATTTTCCAAAGACCAACAGTTTGCTGCCTCAGATTTTAATTTAACAAAAGGCCGCATAGACAGACATTTGCCTTAGCACATAGCATAAGAAAACAACTTGATACCCTTAGTGCAATTGCCAATGGTGAATGCGATGAGTCAAATTGTTGCTGAGCTGCTGCTGAATGTTCAACTAGTCCATTCTTAAAAGTGGCGTCCACCTGCTCAAACATGGCTCTGCACGACATCTCAAATGCTGGGATCACAGAAGTTTCCAAACTTGATTTCAGTGTTTCCTGCACAACAAAAATAATTATGAACTCTATCAAGCAACGATACAGCTGTAAGTTGAGCTAGCACATAAAACGAGTAATGTGAACGGTGAGCTGTAAGTTGAGCTAGCACATAAAACGAGAAATGTGAACGGTGACCATGAAATAGCTACCACAATTACAGCGCAAACAAAAAGTTAAAATATCATGATTCCACATGAAAGGCAGTGCGAAATGCATATCAGAAAAGGAAAAAAAAA